GTGATGGACAAGTACTGTCTTCGGACGACTATGATACCCCTAGTTAAGTACATCATAGATACGATTTACAGATGTTTTACATGGAATGCTAGGGTTTTTATAAAACCTATATGTAGTATTATACATGTGTTTTCAAAACAAGGGGTTATAATGTACAAAAATAAAATGTTTTCCTACTACTATTATTATTATTATTATTATAAACTTGGTCCATTCACCTTTCGGTTTTTGTGCCTCCTCAGGAGTTAGGATCGAGGCATATGATCCCGGCGTCAGGGCATTTCGACTTAGTTATCCTCGAGTATTCTCTGTGTAGGTATCATTTCCTTGTTCGTACCTTTTCCTAATAATTCTTTCACATCGTTCTTTCTTAGTTGTATACTCTGAACACGTTCCTACTTTGGTATAATCGTTCTAATTGCATATATTTTAATTATATGCATGTTTTAAATGGCTTTGTCACCCTCGGGTGTCGGTCAGCACGTGCATATCCTGGTATGTGGGGATATCGAGGTTAGGGCGTGTCAGATAGTGGAGGCTCTACCAAGCCGCTCTGTATTTTTGTCTTATCTCCTTCGCACCTCACGACTTTTTGGATGTAGTTGTAGGTACAAAAGGACCACAAAGATAAAATGAGGTTGTGTAATACTATTGGATCCATATCTAAAACATAACTTACCATTAATGCCCGATCTCATGGTAGCTGAATAGTTCGCCATTACATCAGATGCCATGAGTGGTTGGAGGTATTTATTTCTCATCCATTTGCCATTGTTTGGTTGGAGGTATTTATGTCTATTTCTTTGGAAAATGATCCTCTTTGGTTCCTCTATGTGGGAATTTGGGGGATCAATTAACCACGATCGTTCATTGTACATCGTGCGGTCAGAAATTATTTAAAATTTAAAATTTAAAATTGAATATAAATTATATATAACAAAAACTGACCGCACGATATACGATGAACGACAATGATTGATAGATTTTCCGAATCCCCACAAAAAGGATCCGAAGATGATCATTTTCCTATTTCTTTTGCCATAAATTCCAAATCTGCTAGTATCTCTAGGCTTTCCTTCGCATTTATCTCTGATAGTTGGGTTTTAGACCCGTTTTCTACCTGTCATCCCTGTAGACAAGAACCTTCAGGCCCAAGATTTGAGAGAGGTCGGAGGTTTAGGAATTTTGGAAAAGGGAATTTGAAATTATGAGAGGAAAATTCTGGATGTATGAACTTGAAAACACAATCTTAAATGGAGTGACTTGAAAGGTGTAAGGGATTGGAGTAACTGTGCACACAGAGGGATCAGAGGTTTAAGAATTTTGAAAAAGGGGATCTGAAATTATGAGAGGAAAAGTCTAGTTGAATGGACTTGAGAGCGCAATCTTAAAAGCTCCTACAGATTTTGGTGACATGGGCTCCTCCCTGGCTCTCATAGAGAGAAATTTTTTTTTCAATTTAATTGAGTTTGGTTGAAAGAGGATGAGGACAAGATGAGGACGGCGAGAGATTTTTCAGTGTGACTGGTACGCAGGATGGTACATCACGTGTTACTATACAAATTGTGAAATATATGTGCTAAAAAGTTAATAACTTAAAAAAAAAAAATTATCACCACTTCTATTAAAACATGTGGTGTACCACTTGTATTCTCATCACAATTAAAACAAGAGGATCAGAAATTACTTTGTGGTGGGGTTGAGTTTTGTCGAGATTTGGGTTAGGACACGTGGGATATTTGGAATCAAAATTAAACTTTTGATTATTTTTTTTATTGTCATGGCTAACCCGTGGTATTGTTATATGCAACGTACATTTTTTCCCACCAAAAAAAATTGAGTGGGGCATCCGTCTCCTGGGTCTAAGATGGTTCTATCCTTCTGTTCATATTTTAGCTTAAAAATTCGTCACATGTAATGAATTGTGTGAGAATGTAAATGACAAAGTTCTACATAGGTGATGCAACAAAGCTTGTCAGATATTATACTGAGTAAAGTTATTCCCAATATTACCATTTGATTTTATAATTAAACCTCAACTTCAAAATCCAGCCTCCCAGCAAAGCCTAGTATATAAATATATGCCTACCTCTCCAACCTGAGGATTGAGCCTGTCCCAAAAAACAAAAAGATAGCGAGTTTGCAAGACATTAGGAAAAGCCATGGGAGGCGCCCAGGTCATCTCAACATGTACAGTGCAAGCCGCGAGCCATAATGTTAATGAGTATTGCTCAACTCAAAGAGTTGAGTTAACTCCATGGGACCTTCAATTCCTTCTTGTTGATCCCATCCAAAAGGGACTCCTCTTTCATAACGCGAAAACTTTATCACAACATATTCAACATCTGAAAGCCGCCCTTTCTCGAACACTTGACTTCTTTCCTCCACTTTCCGGTCGCCTTGCCACTATTCACCACGACAATAACACCACCTCCTTTTTCATCAATTGTAATAATGCAGGGGCCCTGTTTGTCCATGCCAAAGCCGACGGTGTTACCCTCTCCGACATAAATGAATCTGTCTATGTTCCTCGTGCTGTTGTCCACTCTTTTTTTCCTCTAAATGGTGCTAAAAACTACGAGGGAACCTCTAAGCCGTTGCTTGCAGTGCAAGTGACTGAGCTTATGGATGGTATTTTCATAGGCTGCACCGTCAACCACACAGTTGTTGATGGCACTTCCTTTTGGCACTTCTTTAACTCTTGGTCCGAAATTTCTCGGGGTTTTGATTTTGTCTCAAAACCACCTGTTCTTAAGCGTTGGCTTCTGGATGGTACTATTAGTCCCATTCGAATTCCATTCTCAAAAATTGAGGATCAAGTCTCCGATAAACACATCGGAAATATCCGAGTACCATTACTAAAAGAAAGAGTCTTTCACTTCTCAAAGGAAAAAATTGCTCAGCTGAAAGCAAAAGCCAATGCTGAGATTCAACTTGAAAATACTAGAACAAAAATCTCCTCTTTACAAGCAGTCTTAGCTCATCTTTGGCGGTCTATAATCCGTGGTAGTAATGGAGATCTTGATCCTGATAAAGAAAGTAGTTATCCATTTATCATAGGTGCTAGGTCAAGAATGAACCCACCATTGTCACAACAATACTTTGGCAATGCAGTTCAAGCGGGGACTGTGACCATCAAAGCAAGGGAAGTTATCGAGCGCGGGCTTGGTTTTGTGGCTTGGGAAATGAACAAGATGGTGGCTTTGCACACAGAAGAGAAACTGAGAAAATTCTTGGAGTTTTGGGTACAAGAGCCTAAGTTGCTGACAGACGGAAACATGGCTGCTAACGCTTTGGTCACAAGCGGTTCACCGCGGTTCGACGTGTATGGAAATGACTTTGGTTGGGGAAGGCCAGTTGGGGTGAGAAGTGGTGCTGGGAATAAGTCACATCGGAAAATTACAGTGTTTTCTGGGGTTGAAGAAGGTAGCATTGATATTGAAGCTTGTCTTTTGGCTGAGACTTTGGAGGCTATGGGAAATGATTCAGAATTCATGGATGCGGTCACAGTCTAGTTGTAGGACCGTTGACCTTCGGGTTTGTGGATGAACGTTCTGTATCCTCCACCCTTATACTCCAAGGAGCTAATATCGCCTAATATTTTATTAAAATAAATGTTTTGATGCGTAATCAAATTATCATTCTCTATTGATATGTCCAATTTGCTGGTGTAATCATTTCTTCTCAATTAATATTCAATATAGAAAATGCATGTCATGCATTTCTAATTTCTAGAGTGGAATAGTAGGATAACATTTGAATGCTTTGCCAAGCGATCACGCATTGGCCACGGGAAGCTAGCCATGTGCATGGTAACGATTTTGGTTGAGGAAGGCCTCTGGCAGTTAGAAGTGGCGCTGGGAACAAGTTCGATGTGAAGCTGACGGTGTTTGCCGCGGCTGAAGATTGAAGCATTGATTTTGAGGCTTGTCTTTCGCTGCAGACGCCGCAAGCTAACTTTCTTCATGGCGGAGGACGAAGAGTTCATGGCTAGTGTGGGTTAGTGAACTTTATTTTACTTTATTTTATGTTTATGTTTTTCAAAAACTTCGGCGTAGGGAGAAATTTTATCATTAGGGATCTTGACGTTGATTTCTTTGGTTTATTATTGTGCCCATGTTTTATTTTTGTGTAATTTATTCTTAAGAAAATCCACCGTCCCACTTAATTAAGGTCTGATTTAGTATTAAGATGATTCTGAAAAATGCTGGTATAAAATTAAGGTCTGATTTGGTATTGAGGTGATTCTGAAAAAAACTGGTATAAAAAAAAAGTTGAGAGCTGTTTTTGTGTTTGGTAAACATTCAGCTTCAGCTTTTTTTCACAGTTTACCCAGCTTTGAAAAACCGGCTTTTTTTTCACATCTATTTTACATAAAAGTTTACCAAACATTATAATACTGCTTTTTTTTTCTTTTCAAAATCACTTTTGCAAAAAAAGTTTACCAAACACTCTGCTTCTTTATTTCACAGCACAACAGAAACAGCATTTTTTCAAAACACATCAATACCAAACCAGTCAAATCCTCCAGTCAATAATTGAAAATTTGGTTGGTTTTATTACTGTTCTGGACAATTAAAAATGGTTGTAGACTCGTAGGCCTTCCCCTTCACCATGTCATCATGAGTCAGCTTACAGTCAGCACCGTAAATAATGGGTTAGAATTATTATAGGATAGTATCGTTGTTTTGTTTGGTTTTGTTTTGTTTATTTTTATTTTTATAGGATAGTGTTATTATTCACACCTTTTTTTTTCCCCACATTTTTATTCATTGATTTTTTTTCAAATAATTTGATATTAAGAAAAGTGCGAAAAAAAAAAAATGTGCGGATAGAGACACCCTCATTGTATCGCATCATAATCGACGCTAGCCTTAGCCTCCAGCCGGTCAACAGCAGTTCTAATATTTTTATTTTGTTGTAGTTGTTTATGGTCCAGTGCCACACAATATTGTAGCCTTAGCCTCTGTGTTTTCCAATTAAATTTTGAAACGAAAAAAATGAGTCGGATTTGGTATATCTCCACGACGATTGTCCGGCCAACAAGCTGTGATCATCTCTTAACTCGAAGATTAATCGAGTTAACTCCGTGGGATTCGAGACTACTCCAGCTTGATTACATCCAAAAGGGACTTCTCTTTCAAAAACCAGCAGAGAGCAGCTTGATACGACACCTAAAAGACGCCCTTTCCCGAACTTTGGATATCTTTTATCCACTCGCTGTGACGGAAATAAAGGATAAAACCCTTTCTTGTTTTTCTATCAACTGCAATGGCGACGGAGCACAGTTTGTCCATGCAGCTGCTGATGGTGTTGGAGTGGCTGATATTCTCGACCCTGTTTATGTTCCGGAGGATATTGTCTCCAACTTCTTCTCCATGAATGAGATTTTGAACTACGAAGGCGTTTCCAAACCCTTGCTTGCCGTGCAAGTAACTGAGCTGGTTGATGGCATTTTCATAGGTTGCACAATGAATCACTCTGTTGTTGATGGGTCATCATTCTGGCATTTCTTTAACACTTGGTCCGAATTCTCTCGTTCGGGGCAAAAATTCTCAACCCCCTCCCATTTTTGATCGCCAACTTCTTGATGGCTTGTTTCATCTCCCAATTCCAATACCCTTCTCACACAGCGGAATCTCAGATAAGGTCGCTCGACCGATCTCATTGAATTCTTTACAAAGGGTATTTCATTTTTCCAAAGAAAAGATTGCGCATCTCAAATCCAAGGCCAATGCTGAGATGGGCACCAACAACATTTCATCCCTTCAAGCACTCATGGCCCATCACTGGCGAGCGATAACTCGTTGTGGACATCTCAACCCTGATCAGGTGATCAGTTATCGTGTTGCAGTAGGATTGAGACAAAAATTGAAGGCACCATTGCCAAAGGAGTACCTCGGAAATGCACTTCAGGGAGTTTCTGTGAAGTCCACCGCATGTGAGCTTTTACAACACGGACTAGGCTGGGCGGCTTTGCATATAAACAAGACGATTGCTTCCCTGACAGCTGAGGAAGTGAAGAAGATATTGAAGGATTGGGAAAAAGCCCCAAGTGCTAGTATGTTCCAAACATGAGGAATGCTATTCCAACAAGTACTAGTAGTGTTTCATTGCTCATAGGAAGCTCGCCGCGATTCAATGTGTATGGTAACGATTTTGGGTGGGGGAGACCGGTTGCTGTGCGAAGCGGAGCTGCTAACAAAATGAATGGGAAAATAGCAGTTTTTCCGGGGGCCGAAGATGGATTGATTTTGAAGTTTGCCTTTTGCCTGAGACTCTATATGCTATGGCAGAGGATGCAGAGTTCATGGAGGCTGTGGCCACATGAAGTAAACCCTGCATGTCTGGAAGCTGTCTTGCAGATTAAATTACCAATTTGGTTAAATATCCAAAGGTTAAGGTTGGTATTATAAGCTTTCTAGATGAATAAAGAATCTGTAATAAATAGACGGTTTGATAACCATTTCGTTTTTAAATTTTGTTTTCAAATTGAAGAATTCAAAGGGAAATCAAATAAAGGTCTGTAAGAGAAGAAAAAAGTATGAGAAAATCATTTTCCTTACTTTTTCCATCTTCTAAATTTGTCCTTGTCATATTTTAATTCATAATTTCATGCTTCCTTATACCGGCATCTCCAATTTTTCTTCTTACATCGTTTATTGGTGTAAGTTGACTCGATACAATTAAAAAAAATGAGAAGTAAGTTTATTCGGTTCGAAACCACCCAGAGCATTAAGCCTAAACTGTTAAGAGGTTTTCTATTTAAAATCGCTAAAATAAATCCCGGCCTAGTGCTCCATCTCATATTAAAACCCTTAAAAAAGTAACGTCATTATGTTTTCTTTCCGTGTTTACTTTGTTAATTCATCTTAAAAATCAAGCTACGTACTCAGACTTTGTGTTTTGGTTTTTTGGTTGAACTACTCAGAATCTGTGGTTTTGTACCATAGTTCATAATAACAACTTCAAATCACGGCAGACACCTGCTTGAACATTGGCAAACCCTAGATTTGAGCGAATTAATGGAGTTTTTTTAAATTGTTACGGAGTTGGTAGTTTAATACCAAATAATCATTACTTGTTGAAATAACATAAAGACATGCCAAACAATAGGTATGTCTCAAACACACATTATATAACGCTTCATCAGAAGGATACATTTCAAAAATAAAAACTTTATGTACGAAACGTCTAGTACGTTCTAAATTCATATTATTTTTGAACTCAACGATCAATATGTCAACATAATATTCACTTAAGTACCTGGTACATTACAAATTTGTTATGAAAAGAGGGCATTTAAAACTTACAGTACGTTGAGTTTAGAAAAAACTATTCATTCATGATTTGTAGTTGATCGTAGGGGTGTTGAGTTCAGAAGTTTATCATTGTCGACCATCTTAATAGCCTAGGTGAACAATAGTGAATTCTAATTTTAGAAAATTGTTTCCCAAATCGACTAATTAAATGCGTAACTAGTGTACTATTGTAATTCAAATCTTTAAATTTACAAGATTAATATCTTTAAATTCAAATTCTTATTAATTTGAACAATCAATATTATTCTTTAATTAAAACTCTGAGACATCAATTAGCAAGAATTTAGGAACCTCCTCTCTTTTGGCGTAAAGAAACTGGATACCGAAATCAGATTTGTTAAAAGCTATGGCAGGTCATGTAATTTAGGTGCATCAAAATGGGTAAATTAAGATACACATGGCACCAAATTGTTAAAACAAACAGATCTTTAGTCTAAGAAGCCTTAAAAGTTAAAAACGAGGGACTACATCAAAACATCCCCTTTTGGAAATATGCATTTTTGATATAGTTGAATTATTGGGTACATTTTAATTCGGAGTTGGTACATTTTTATTTGATGTTGGCATGACAGATCTAGGAAATATTATTCAGAGGGTCACATGTAAAAATTCACAAACATTTCTTAGACATATAATAACCTTAAAAAAACTGTAGTTCCATCATTCATAATTTTATAAAAAAAAATTACAATACAAATTACAATTGTCCACGATGTTTCGTTTTCATATTTTGAAAACACCGCATTAATATCTCCATTATCAATGAAGGAAAAAACAATGATATTTGTATAAACTATTATGCTATCACTCAATCATTGATCTTCCCTTCGATTACTTAGAACTTTTCACAACATTCATAGCGGAAAAGGCTCTCCACTGAAGTAGTAGTAACCGATAGAATTAAAGTTAATATAATTAGCAAATACACATGATTACTATGTTCCTTCCCTCTTCACCATTTTTTGGAAAGACTACCAATTTCAATATTCACTACTTGAACGCAAATCAAGAATATAATGCCCAAGTTGATATATATATTTTTTTAAATATCTAAGCTACCTATTAATAGAAGTCTATTTATCAACCAAAACTCTATAAAATTACTATTCTAACCCTTTCATCAAAGCTAAACAAAATTAAAAGATATGGCAATTTAGTAATTACATATCACTTAAATTTTCAATTTTTACACGAACCTCACAGCTAGGTAAACATGACACATCCTATTTAAAAAATAAAAAATGAAGGAGGTTTTTTCTTTAAACCCACGTCTCCCACTTTAAAACCACCCCCAACCTCTTCTTCAAAGTTCCACGCCCAAAATTTTTTTCGAAAGTGTTTTTTTTTTTTTTTTTTTTAAGGAAGAAGAAGTGATATAAATATTTTTATAACAAAAAATAGTCAAATTTAATTACACACATATAACGTGTACACACATGACTAGTTGCTTATTAACTTAACCGTTGCATAGCCTTTGACCGATGTTCCACCGGCCCAAGGTTAATCGTGGGTGTTTTCTCTTTGCAAAAAGTCAAATTTCTTCCATCCACAGCAGTGCGCAAATTTGGTTTCAACAAATAAATTGATTTCAGACAACTAATTATAACAATTGAATGACAACAAGAATTAATTATCTTGAAAAAATACAATTTTTTATTTTAAAAATAAAAAAAGCTGAGATAAAAACCTATTAATAATAATAGATTAAGGGTACAAACTCAAGACTCAAGAGGACTTTGATAGAAAGTTGAAAAACTAGTAAACTTTCAATCAAAGAATATTAATGATTAGAGACGCATTCAAAATAGACAATGATTATTCCCCCGTCGCAATTTATTGCATTTTTTCCACTTTCTCACTGACCCAAAAAAACACAATTTCCTACCAATAAAAAAAATATTTAAAAGAGCACACTCATTCAATTTTTTATTTTTATTTTTTTGAGATATTTTAATACAAACGCCCGAGTTCTGAATTCATTCCACTAAACATCTATGCCTTAAGTTTTTGATTGAAAGTTTCTTTTACTAATCAAGGTCCAATACCCTTTTTGTTGATTCAAAATTATGTAATCTATAGTTATTGGATTTATCTCCAATTAAATTAAAAGTTGTTTCAGACTTAGCTACCAGAACATTTTCTTTGAATCAAACGTATTTTTAAACTATTCCAAAATGATGAAATATGCATTTTTGATATAGTTTAATCATTGGGTATGTTTTAATTCGGAGTTGGTATGTTTTATTTGATGTTGGCTGTGGCAGATATAAGATAAATATTATTTAGAGGATCCCATGTAAAAATTCACAAACGTTTCTTAGACATTGTAAACATGAATATTCTTGCGATGAAAGAAACAAGAACACGTATACAAAATAATATTTTGTATTAATTTTAGGGTTACAATCTCTTTTACAATTTGATCCTCTGATTCTATCTTCGTAAGGTGTATATTTGTGAATAAGTTGTTAATCCAATGGGCCGTCGGGGTTTGGTCTAGGGATGAATAATGGTGTGGATTTGTTGATGTTGTTGATCCAAAGGGCCGTCAAGGCTTGATCTTAGGATGAACGATGATGAACGGATCTTCAAGGGCCTTCGGGGCTTGGTCTTGATGAACAGTTGTGTGGATTTCTTCAAGGATTTGACGAAGAACAAAGAGAGCTTTCTTGATCCTTCGGGATTCTTGGGAATTTGGGAACTTGGATGCTTGAAAGCTTTTAGAGTTTCAAAGCTTCAAGGATTTGGGGAATTCTCTTCCAATTTGGGAGTAGAGAAATGTATATGTCAATTCCTCCCTTGATCCCTTGATGAAGAAGCCTGTTTATAGACTTTGAAAATGAACCACCACCATCCTTTTTTTTTAGATGAAGTAAGTGAATGATGTAGGTGAAATGAGTGGAGGTTGTAGTTGAAGTAAGTGTATGATGTAGGTGAAATGAGTGAAGGTTATAGGTAAAGTGATTGTATGATGTAGGTGAAATGAATGATGTAGGTGAAATGAGTGAAGGTTATAGGTAAAGTGATTGTATGATGTAGGTGAAATGAGTGAAGGTTGTAGATGAAGTGATTGTATGATGTAGGTGAAATGAATGAAGGTTGTAATTTTAATGCATTGGTCAACATTTATTTCCCTAAAATTTAGATGTCTACAGACATATAATAACCTTAAAAAAAAATCGTAGTTCCATCATTCATAATTTTATAAAACAAATAACAATACAAGTTACAATTGTTCACGACGTAACATTTTC